TTTTTTTTGGCGGCAGGTGGTTATTCCAGAAATTTCAAGGGGTTTTGAGTGTGATCGCCTGGAGATGCTAATTTTATCGCAGCATTGTTCCTTTAACGATGTGAGGAAACTGGTTGGTCCAGCTCTTAGTGCTGGGTGTTTTGTACTCTGAGTCATGCTGTACAGGCCAACCTACCTCATTTAAAGCAGTTTGCTAATGCTTTTTTTTTTTTTTTGGTTCAGATGAGCAAGGAACTAAAGCACTATGGGTAAAAAGTCCTGCTTGAACCTGTAAAAATAAAGCAATTTCAGGCTAGGCTTCGTGCGTGGAAGCTGTGAAATGCACGCTTTTGATGCTTTCGTGTGTGAGGGTTCTTCCTGTATTTGCAGAGTTAATCCCCCTTTTACCTGAGGAAGGGGTTGCCGTGCATAAACTGAAGTTTCAGTTTAAATGGCTTCTTGGTAGCCCTAATCAGCTAAGAGGTTGTTTTTCTCACTGTTCAGCTAAATTGGAAGTTTTTGTTGTCTTTATAGCACATGAAGAGTTCAGATGGCTTGTTACTGCTATTCATGTGTTTTTACAGTATTTCAAGTGTTTGGTGTTTCAGGAGAAACATGAATTTTGTAGAGGAGTTCAAACAGTTCGGTCCTTGTGCTCAGTGTAAGACGAGTATTAGATAAACGCGTCGGGAGATGAGTGAGAAAATTTCTGGAAGATCTTTAGCCATAATTTTTTACGTTGAGTTCTTTATCTTTTGACTGGCACACGAGACGTTTGTGTGGAGGTTCTTGTGTTTTCACATGCCTTACCTGCTAGAGTTTCCGGAGGTGACACCCCTCCATGAGCAGCCCATGTTTTGCTTCCCTTTGTTTCAAGTTGTTTGCTTGTTCTGATCAGCTAGCAAAGGTTGCATTTAGCTGAATTGTCAGTTTGCTCAAATAAACAGATGTCTAATAATAATTTGGTGGGCATCTCATTCGTTTCCTCTTTTCACCCTTTCGAGAAGTATTTTGTAAAGCACTGTCTTGCCGTGGTTGAGTGGTGAGGTTGTCCCATTGTTTTTGCTGCTAAGAACAGGAGAAGGTGAAATTAAACGTGGGAGATGATGGAGAAAGAGTTAACTTAAAAAAAAAAAAAAAAAAAGAGGAAAGAAGGACAAAAAAAAATCCTGACCCGAATGGGTAGTTGAAGGTGCTGTGCTACAGAGTGGGCAGGAAAGGGGATGAGGAAGGACTGCCAAAAAACAAACCCTAAAACTTGTTTTTCTGCTATCAGTAATACTGTTGGTGGTAACAACAGTTACTTGATTTAGTAAACAAGAGAGGGAAGAAAGTACAGCTTCTTTAACATGCTGCCCTGCTTCCAGGACAAAACTGTAATTCAAACTCTTTGTGTAGAGTTGTTCACCGGGTACAGAGTGATGTAGGATTGGGGTAATCTGGAAAGAAACTTGAAACTGCTGTTGCTTCAGGAGCAGAGCTAGTTCTTTCACAGTACTTTCTAGAGGCAGCTTCAGGAGGGCTTTGGCTCAGCACCCTGGAAGTGGCCTGCTGAGCTCCTGGACCACAGCTGGCTCTCTTGTTTACATTCATGTGATGCTACAATGATGGGGCTGAGTTGGATTATAGAGAGCTAGCTCTGTCCCCCCTTCTGCGGTAGGGATCACTGATGCATGGCCTAGTTAATTTTACAGCATATAATAGAAACGTGATTATACCAAAGAAACAGAAGGTAGATGTGCTCTCCGATGTGTATAGGTAGCAATTTGTAATGAGCTTATTCGCCTTTATGTGAGTATCTTGTAAGCATTGTTAGAAAATAAGTTGTTTCTAATTCTTTTTCCCCTCAGGAATCTTTCGATGATGCATCACCAGGAAAACAAAAAGAAATCCCAGAAGCAGATCCTACATATGAAGAGAAAATGGTATGTAACGTTTGGGAATGCGTACATCTATCCAGCACTTAACGCAGTTGCTTAAAACATAGTGTTCAGCTCTTTTGAAATCTGTTAATTGGATTTATAGGTCTTTGTCTAGTCTTTCAAAAAACATTTAAGTAATTTGAAACCAAAACAGTTAAAATAGAAAATCTCTTTTCCTTTTTAGTGTTTTGTTCTCTGTTCTTCTGTTGCTTCTCTACTTCCGTTGCAGTGATACGTTGATATAACTGGTGATGTGTTTTGTTGGTTCTAGTAAGTGTGGACCTAGGAGTTTTGCAGCGCTCTAGATTTAGGAAGAATGGGATAATGGGAAGTATTCAGACATCCTCGGGGAAAAAAACGTAATAGGAATTGTGCTGTCGCTTTTGGAGTTGTCTGTAGAGTAAGTCCTTCCTGGGGGTAAGGAGGATTATGAAGAGCTGAATATTCACTCTCTTGGTCGGAAATCGAAAGATCATCTAGAAAAGGGTCTGTCCTAACTGGCTACTACCTTACTTTCTTAATGTACAGAATCAGTTGAAGTCTCAGGCCTTTTTATATCACTGAAAAATAACTCAGAACTTCTCTTTGAACTTCAGGAGTAGTAGTCTTTTGTAGGAAAAACGTATGGATTTTTGCGGGGGGGAGAGGGGAGAAATAAAAAGTTTAGTATAAGGCTTTAAGTAGATACTGCGAATTCGTGCCTTAATTCTCAAATGAAATATACTTTAGTAGGAAGACTTCAAAACAGGCAGGTTCTTTTAAACAGTATAGTTTACAGGTCTAACTAAATAAAAGAGGAAGCTCTTAAAGTTAGTGCTTTCAAAATTCACAGGAAGCTGAGAAAGGTTTGCTGTTCAGGACAAGTGTTAATTGTAAGCCTTGTCCACTTTTTCTGTACTTTATCTAGAGTGAAAGGGATTTTGTTAGCTTTTTAAAATTTAATTCATTCTTTGTGAAGCTCTGGTTAGATTCCTCAAGTTTGAAGACTGATATTTTGTGCTTCGCTGGTTGGACAGGAGAAAACTTGCTATTTTTCCTTATTTGTAGTTGTTACAACATCCTGAATTTACAGGATGGAGCCATCCTCTTCTCACCATCTCATCACAATTTCTTTTTGTGTTCCTTCGTGTTTTCCTTCCTTCCAGTTTGTAATTCTAGCGTCTGTGACTGTACACAGAATTTCTTCAGAAGAAGGTGAAACTGTTTCCTAAGAGTTTGTTGCTGCCTACACATCTTATCACCACTGAAAGTTACCTTTTCTTCTCTTTCTAATTTCTTTCCTGGCAATTTGTGAAGAAAGCGAACTTGTAGTTGTCTCCTCTAGTCTATAGACGAGCACAATTATGAGAAAGATTGTATTTTGCTATCAAAAAGATGTAGATAGTGTTTGTTAACGTCTTAAAAGAGCAGTCTGAAATCCAGTGCAAATGGGTTATGTTGTGTGTGTGTGCAGTGCCGAAACTTACAGAAGGTTTGTAACTAAAATTTTAGAACCAGAACACTTCTGTAATACTGTTTGTATCCCTTATGCTTCTATTTTGCACAGCTAGTGAAACAAGTACTTAAAAATAAGCATCAGCAATTTGGATAATAAAATAAGACCTCACCTAGTTTCTTCTTCAGAAACCGATACAAAGTAAATAAAAAATTCTGAAGACTAGACAGGCAGACTGTAATTCAGTGGATGTGGATTTTGTAGCTGTAACAACTAAGTTAAACCGTAATTAGAGTCTGACTCTTCTGTGGTGTGTGCAAGATTTACTTGTGTATATAAAGCACCTGCCTTTCTCTTTCTCGCTCTCTTTCTTCTCTCACTCCACTGTCTTTCTGCCTTCTACATAGTGCGGGATCTGCTTACTTAAAAGAGGAGAACATTCACTGAGTTGGCATTGGCCTTGCAGCAGTCTGGAGTATATGTTCCTTTTTACTGAGAAAGCTGACTTCCTGTTAACCGTGCAAGTTGCTAAATACCAGGTTATGTTGTGGCAGCTGGCAGAACGTCAGAGTGGTTGTTGTTAAACTTGGAGCTCTTTTCTGTCTCAGTTGTCTGTTCTAAAGCCTCCACAAGCTCAGGATACTTAAAGTTGCTGTGGGAAGAGGTGTGGATTCCAAGTGGAACCTGTCTTAAAGGAACTGAACCTTTTTAGATGTTAATATTGTCTCCTGTAGTCTTTTTGCACAGCAGAAACGATGTCTCATATCAAAGGGTGCAGTCTGACAAGTGAGGCTGAGCATATCTAATAGCTCTGCTGCTGAAATAGGTTTTCTGGCTCCTAGCTATGTATGGGCTTTGCTGCTCCCTCTCTTCTCCCGCTTCCCTTTCATACTAGCCCTTTTCCTTATCTGACACCTCAGTGAGGTGGTTTATCTCGCTAAGCGAGAAGGGGATGCAAGCAAGCAGGAAACTAAAGCAGTAGAAGAGAAAATGGTTGTTGCGAGGTTGGCGAGATGAATGAGTTCATTGAAGAATCACGTGAATGCTGGGTAGGAGTAAATTTCTGGGAGTAGGACCATCCTTTTTCATGGGAGAAGACTGTTAAATGAACTCTGCTGCCTCATCCAGTGACACTCGTGCAATCTCTGTGCTAAAGTCAGCTTTCAGTTTTAGGCAGGTCTGGCTTGCAACTGTGATTTTATTGCATGGCAAAGATTATCCTTCAGCTAGTGGCAGAATATTGAATGCGTCAGCAGTGGTTGCATTGTTGATGCAGGTGTTTTGCTCTTTTGTTATTGTAGGTATGCATTTGAAGAAATACGGATCTAAATTGTTTCAAAGCATTTGCTAGATTTTTAAAAACTAAATGCATATTGCAGTGTCTCACACTTGTTTCCCTTGATTTTCTTTGTCAACAGCAAACAGACAGAGCAAACAGATTTGAGTATCTGTTGAAGCAGACTGAGCTGTTTGCTCATTTCATTCAGCCTGCTGCTCAGAAAACTCCAACTTCACCTTTGAAAATGAAACCAGGACGTCCACGAATAAAGAAGGACGAGAAACAGAATTTACTGTCAGTTGGCGAGTAAGTGATGACATGTAGGCCAGTTTGTAATGTAGTTATGGATTTTATTGTACTTCAGGAACATAAATTAAACTTGCTTTTGTTCTCTTTTGCTGTGTGTATTACACTGTATAATTGGGTTTTTTTTTTAGCTTCCAACCTGTAAGTTGAGGGTTATTTGAGAATTCTAAGAGTTCTAAGAGTTTGGTGTTGGTGGCGAAGTCCTGTCATGGTTAGAAATGTTCCAGCATGAAGAAAAGTAGAGGAGGCAGAAAAGTAGAGACTTCATGGCTGTAAGTTGCAAGACTGTGGAAAGCATCAGTGTAGTGTGTCTTACGTGCAGCTTGCAAATCAGAAATTGAGAATTTTGAATTTTGGATAGCCTTCATTGCTGTTTGTATGGCTACAGTATCTCTCTAGCTTTTGGCAGATGTTCCAGAGCTCTTGAAGCACACTGTCTTTCTCTGTCTTGCAGTTAAATGCTCTAAGATTTGAGGCTGCTAATAATCTCAACTGGAATGTAATAGTCAGCATAATAATAAGAAGCTAGTGGCTCTAAAGAATTAAACAGCATCATTTTAGGGGATCAGCTTAACATAAGAGTTCATTTGAAGAAACTCCTTGAGGTGCTTGTGGTCTATACCGCAATGCTATTATATTTGATTTTGGAACAGTTTAGTGTCTTCTCAGGTTAGCCAGGAACTTATGTTTTTAAACTTTTTTTTTTTTTTTTTTAAAGCTACCGCCATCGTAGAACAGAACAGGAAGAAGATGAAGAGTTGTTAACAGAAAGCTCTAAGGCAACAAATGTATGCACTCGATTTGAAGAATCTCCATCATGTATGTTTCCTCTTTTCTTTTTGTCCCCTGAAAGTTCCTTTCCTTTAAGTCTTGCAGTTTTAAAATGGAGTTTATTTTCACCCTTTCATGGGAGACAAGTTGATTTTGGGGGGAAAGGGGAAAAGGAAATAACCAACACTAGTCTAATTGGACAAAATACATTAGCGAGAGGCTGTCTGTTTTCAGACTAGAAAGATGGTGTAGTAAGTCTTGTCCTTTAGAAGTCTAGTTGCCGTACCTTAGTTGCTAGGAAGTAGCTAGCTGTAGCTCTGTCCTAGTCCAGCTACATCAGGACTTAAAACTCTGTTTTTAAGTTGGCTATCTTACAGTTTTCCAGTATGTAACCTACCTTCTGGTACAGTTTAAAGTTCACAACAGCTTTTAATTTATTTAATAGAGAATTTAATATCCTATTGTTTCAATGTTCTAGTATGTTCTGATTTGGGGAGGATTATAAAATAAGAATTTCCACATATTTTGGGGTCTTGTGCAAACAGTGCTGTTGAAACAGTGTTCACTCTTGCTTCTCATGCTTACAGAAACAAAATTTACACACCGCTGTCTCTGATCTTTTCTTTGTCCTTTGGAGTTTGCTGCCTGAAACTTGTTGCTTGATATTGTTCTGTAGCTTAAATAATCGCTCTCAGCAGTCAAGGGATGGTAAAATACTTTGGTAAAATTTTCCATATTTTTTAGTCTATTCTTCCGTGTCTTTTAGATGTTAAATGGGGAAAGCTGCGTGATTATCAGGTCCGAGGACTGAACTGGCTCATCTCTTTATATGAAAATGGCATCAATGGAATCCTAGCAGATGAAATGGTATGCCTGTAGCCTGTGTTTCTGTTGCAGGAATGTGAGCGCAAGCGATGCAGTACAATTTTAGTTCAGCTGTACCTTTAGTTCAGTATTCCTTTAAATAGTACAAAATGCAATATATAACTTGCCATATTTTATTTTTGTAGTATGTTTTAAATCAGTAATGTTAAAACTGTGCATCCCAGTTACCTGTTAATTTAAATAAGCTGTATAGGCAGCTTAAGAAATAGGCATATCAAAATGGATTCTGTCAACCTTCAGAAAACTACAGTTCTGGGATAAAAACGTTGTTCTGTAGAATGACACATGCTTTATGGTTTTTTTTTTCTTTAAATTGCAGTTATTTTGTTAAGATATTCTGAAGCTCCCCTTGTGAAGAGGGCATCATGTATGAAAAGAGCAACAGATGTGACAACACTTCCTGTAGTGGCTAGGGTGAAATGCAGATGGCAGGATACAAGTGTCCTGTATGGATTGATAGTCTTAGCAGCAAGAAGTGCAACAGCAGGAGATTTTCTGGGAAAAACAACATTCAAATAGATGTAGCTAGAGAGCTGTGTTGAAAGGTCTTTCATGCCATGGCCATGGCCATTTCAGTCAGCACTGACCATAACCTCTTCTGCTTCTGTTTTTGTTCTTTTTCCCTGAAAGGTAAGGGGTGAAGACAAACTGTAGTAGTTTGAGAGGCGGATATATTTTTTTCCCTCTATGAAGTGATTTTAGCTCTATCTGATTTTTGTAAGGGGCTGATATGGAAAAACAAAGATCTAATTATATTTCAGTAAATTCCCTTTCTCATACCTTACTGGCAGTTGCTTTTCTGTGCAGCAAAAAGTCTTCAAGCTAAATTAGAGAGAACTGATTTTAAGTTGTTGTTTAATTCAGTTTAGCATAGTTCAAGGATTTTCTTCAGCATGCTTTCTTATGAATACAGGATTTTCTTTGCCAAATACAGCTCTAAATGGAGCAGGCCTATTTTACGAATTAGTTTGGGAAACTTGATACTTGGATTTGTTGTATTCCAAAATCCGTCTTGTCTTGAAGAATTAAAATATTTACTATTAAACATTTGTAGATTTATTCTTAAATGTTCATTGTCTTGTTTGATGCTTTTTACACAGCCTGTAAATGTTTTGCTACATCTTACACCAGGTGAAACGTAGTCATTTTGAAAACAATTGAATTCCGGAAGCAAAAAAACCCTTGCAGTTTGGGGTTTTTTTGGATCCCATGTGCTTGAATCGTAATCTCTTTGAATTTCTGAAATGATATGAATGATTGGGTTTATGCATGTCTTCCTCAGTTTTGTTTTCATAAAATTATATGCTGAAGATACAGAATCTTTAATATTTCTGCTGAATAATGAACAGAGCACTTTTAAAAAGTGCTTCTAAAGAAGCTAAGTGGTTATATCTTATTTGAAAGGTAAGGCAGAGTTCTAACTTTGTGATCACAGTTCACAGGTTTGAAAATGTTAGTCTTTTTTTTTTTTCTTTAACATGCAAGGCAGCTCAAGTTTCTTCTAGTTAAAATTTTGAAGACTTCTGTGAATAGCACTGTCTTTAGTATATCTTAGTTGTTTGTTCAGGCTGCTGTGTCTTCTGTCATACTCTCAAAGATCACGTTTGAGGTTTTTTTTAAAAGTGTTTTCTCAGAAATTTCTTCCGACGTGTTAATTTATCTCACAGGGTCTTGGGAAGACACTGCAAACAATTTCGCTTCTTGGGTATATGAAACACTACAGAAATATTCCTGGGCCTCACATGGTGTTAGTTCCTAAATCCACTCTACATAACTGGATGAATGAATTCAAGAGATGGGTACCTACGCTTCGAGCAGTTTGTTTGATTGGTGACAAAGACCAGCGAGTAAGTTTTGACGTGGTGGTTTTTCCTGTGTTCATACCTGATCAGTCCAGCATGCGATCTTGCTGTCCTCATCTTACTTTCGCGGGGAAAGACATTACTTGGATTTCTAGTGGTTAAACATTTAAGACCTATAAGTGCTACCTACTTCAAATATAACCAGCTCAGAATTCCTATGTATCTTGTCCAGCTGCTGCCTCATCACTTTACAGTCGTAATTTCTTGTCCTCAGTTTTTCTTTCTCTTTTTGTGAAGGCAGTTTACCACATAGGTCAACAGAAACTAATAAATTATAAAATAGAAAAGTGAAGTGTTTTTTTTAAAGTGCTGTCAATTGTATCAAGTACATGAATCTGGAAATAAGTCTTTTTCTTTCTAACTGCTTTATTATAGTACATTTTATTGGCTGTAATAGCAGCTCTCAAGAGGATTGTGGGATCTCTTACCAAGTAACTGTTTCCTGAAAAGAGTCTGTGAGCGTAGCGTGTAAGGGGTTTTGGCTGGAAGAGCTGGTCCTCAGATGGGTCTTATTCTGCTTGAGTTTTGTCAATTATAAGAGAAAAATATTTTTCATCTACATACGGACTTTTGTTGGAATATGGTGGTGCTTCTGTAGAGTTGTCAGCTGAAGGTAATTCATTCATTTATGTGAGCAATAGATATTACTGATGTAATCTGCTCTTTTCAGCAAGATTTTTTTCTTTTTTTAATCTAAGGATACCTGGCTTCTTTTTCAGTTTGCTGGATTGGAAGTTATGTAACAAAAACACTGATGAAGATTTTAAATAATTTAGATAATTTCAGAACTCATCGATCCAGATCTGATACTCTGCAATATTCTTAGTGCACATTTTGAGAATCCAAAAGTTCTTATTCTTTCTTCAGTATATTTCTTGCTTATATGAGTTAAGCTGTTAACACATGTACTTCTCTGTAATTTGGATTGTTACCAGTTACTGGGACCTCTTTTAATCCTGGGTTGTCAGCATCCTAGAAAATGTTTAATTGGCCAAGTGAAGCTATACCTGGATTTATTTTTCATATGCAGAAACTGCAATGTTCTATACTGGAACTCCGACTGAATTTTTGGAGGGCTTTTTCTGAAATTCTTAATCTTACAGTTCAGCTATTCAAAAACTCCTGTGTATAGTCATCTGCAGTTTCCCAAACCAGAATTTAAGCTGAAAGTCCTTCTCTGCTCTGCTGCAAGGGTTTTAGCAGCTTCGGCACTGACAAAATTCTGAAGTCTTAGAATGGTCATGTGTTATATCAAGTCTATAATTAGATCTTATCTTTCTTTTCAAAATTTGCAGCAACGTTATTTTAAAATTTTGACATCACTAGTGTGTTCTTTTTGTGACTGAGTGTTGACAAATCCTCAATAACTAGCAACTGTCGCTTTGCCTTCTAGGCTGCCTTTGTCCGAGATGTGTTGCTGCCAGGAGAATGGGATGTCTGCGTAACATCGTATGAAATGCTTATCAAAGAGAAGTCAGTATTCAAAAAGTTTAACTGGAGATACCTAGTTATAGATGAAGCCCACAGGATTAAAAATGAGAAATCAAAGGTAATTTATGTTTTCGCTGACAAATATGTTTGTGTGGGTTGTTAGGCAGGTGTGTGAGGGAAATTGTTATGTCCACTTATGTCTCATTCTCCTTCAGTTATCAGAAATTGTGAGGGAATTCAAGACTACAAATCGGTTGCTGTTGACTGGAACTCCGCTTCAGAACAACTTACATGAACTCTGGGCACTTCTTAATTTTCTTTTGCCAGATGTATTTAACTCGTCTGAAGTAAGTCGTAATTTTTGCTAATCAAGCTACCTACACTCTGGTGGTTTTCCGGATTTTGAAAATAGACCTGAATATATATAGTTTTGAGAATTATACCTTGTTTATCAGATTGCTGTCACCTTGTTATTACCGTTAATCAGATCTCTTCTTGATGCCTTGGTAGGTAAGATAAAGGATTTAAAATAAATGCAAAAATATCAGTTTCTGATAACGACTGATTGACAGTCAGTAAATGTTTGTAATGTTGTAAAGTGTAGTAGGTAAACTTACTTTCACAGCATGGTCGTTTTTGAATCTTAAGCTTAGCGTATGTGAGAGGTATTACCAGTCACAACGTGAAGGTGATCTCTGCTGCATTTCAAAATAGGATTAAACATTGTGGTGGCTAGAACAACTAACTAGTCTCTTGTATATAAATTACTTTATTGTTTATTCAAGACTGCTTTCCTGTGAGTTCGGAGAAATTATGTAATCAGCGATAGACTTCCCTGAGCCGTAGAACCCATGTGTCTGCTGAGAAGTGTCTCACAGTACTGATTCAGGAAGATACTTATTTCTACGCCTATTCTCAAGCATGTGCTTAACTGTTCTGAAGAACTGGGAGAGGGTAAAATCTGTGGAAAGGGAGATCTTCTGATATATTCAGCCAAAATTTTATCTTTTTATTTTTCATCAAAGGCTGTGCTGGTATGCAGCTTCCAATGGGAATTTGTCTAGCAGAGTGGCATCAGTGAATCCTATTATTTTTCAACAGAAAAGGACAGGCCTTTTTTTGTTTTTGTTTTTCTGTTTGTCCATTTTTGTTAAGGCATGGAGTAGTCTTTTTAAGGTAGCACCATAGATCTTTCCGTAAGGATGACTGCTGCTAAAAAAAAAAAAAAAGAAAAAAAAAAAGAAAAGGCCAAACCAGAAAAACTCAAAAGATAAGAAACATATTCCGAAGATAATTTATCAGGCTTTTGTTTTGTTTTTCCCTCATCACTGGTTTGACTGTGGTGGTCCAAAACTTATGCTCTGAAGTCACAGTCTGGCTTCACAGAAGCTAAGCATGACAATGAATGTAATTTAGACAACTTAAGCTCCTAATTTGGGGTTCAGCTGTGGACATTTTTCTGCACCATTGTAATTTTGTTTGCTCAGGTGCTGATGTGTTTGAAGTGTTAACATTTCTGATGTGAAGAA